GGGCCTGATCCCCTGGTTGACCTGCACTTGCCTGTTGAAAGCCTTGCTTTTGCATGTTGCTTGGGTGAATGCTGCCTCTTCATGTGCTGGCATTTACTCCTCACTTTGCTCCTTTTTCCATCCATCATGGAGGCTGTGGCAATGCAAATAGCTTCACCTTCTTCCTTTCGCGCAGTGGCATGCTTGGTTCCCTGTCCCACAGGCTGGCTGCCCTTGTCTCAGCTACAGCTGGTCCGAGCTGAATGGTGCTGGCCAGCCATCTCCAGGCAAGTCTTCCCAGTGTCACTTCTGAGGTTAGTGTTAAAGGCTGTGGTTAAACATCCTCCCTGATGCAGTGGAGACTGTCTTCTCACCAGTGGCATCTTCAGATGTCTTGTCCAGGCATGGCCAAATAGACCAGAAGGACCTCATGGGCCTTTCTGCTCATCCGTTGTCTTCTCTTAGCTCAATGTCCTTATCTAATAACAGGCCAATGCCTGGTGTAGTTTTTCTATGCTTCGTTAAATTTTCTGTGAAAACCACTTTGCATAGGCTTATTTTTTGTTTACCAATAATGTAAGGACAGGGGAGCATCTGCCCTGACCTGGGCTGTGGGGCCGTACTGTGGTGTCACAGCTGCTCAGAAGAGCTGGAGAAAGGATATGCACCCTCAGCTGTGCTCCTACGAGCATGGGCATGAGCTCCTGGGCCTGGACCTGCCTTGAAAGACTGGGTCCTTGTGTGTGGAAGCCCTTGATGGACTTCAGCCAGTCATGCATTGGTCTAACCATGCTTTCAGCCCCAAGTGGGTTTTTTTGGCAGCATATGGCAATAAGCTTTGTAGCTTCATTTTGGTTTTATCAATCAGAAGAAATCTCTTTTTATTTGGTTTCTTGTGTCCCTTGCCAGTGCCTGGTCTGCATTTATAATACTCTGAGTATTTGCAGCAGTTGCTCTGATGCACCTTCTGGGATGGATGATGATCTGAAGATCATGAGATGAGACCATGCTTGTTGGATAGGACAAACTGTGAAGGCCCCAAAGTACTATCCCCTTTCCCTGCCATTCACCTCTGGCTCAACCACCCTCTTGCACACACCATCCCTCACTGCCCTTCCAAGGACCCCCAAGCCTGGGTGGGGCTTGGGGATGCTGAGCAGTGTGGACACCCATGGGGGCAGCCAGTTAAGCGGGGAAGCTCATAGTCATGGGTAAAGTGCTCCATGAGTCTGGAGGCTTTGAAGAAGTGCTGCTGGCAAAGAGCACCATCCCCTCCCTAGGCATCCTCAATTGTCAGGGAGTTTTGAGCAATAATTACATTGATACAATCCAGCAGGGAGAGTGTGCAGCAGAGCGCTGCCCACAAGGTGCCCGGGCTGGGGACACTGCCGCGTCCCCGTCACAGTGATGGGTACCACCTGCTGCTCATCCCCACAAGCTGCTGCAGAGGGTAGGCACTCTGTATCCATGTGGCTTCTGCATGGGCTTGCTGTCCCAGGAGGAAATTTTCCTTCCCTACATTCTCCTCCCAGCTCAGCAGCCCTGGCCCCAGGGAGCCAATGGCCAGGTGGCCCCGCGTATTAGCCTGAGCTGTCATCCTGTTAATTACCTTCGGGCTAATCCTGGCTGAGCTGGGCCAGGGCAAGTGGTGCTCAGCTGCCAGCCATGGCTGCACATACCCCTCTGCCCCCCAGCCTCCGCTGGGGTTTGGCGGCATTCAGCAGCTCCCTCTTCATCAACAGCAAGACGCAGGACAGCGGTGCTGCCCACACCTACCACCCAGGTACGGGCAGCAGGGCTTGGCAGCAGAGGGGTTTGGGGGGATTTTGCTGTTGCTTCATCACCATGAGCCTGCTCAGCACATCACCAAAGCACCCGGGTACCTCTGAGCCGGGAGCACCCAAAGGGTCACTGCACCCACCCACTGATGAGGGGAAGCAAAAATAAGTGCATTTGCTGCAAACGGACATTCTTGCTACCCAGACGTCCCCCAGGCATGGCAGGGACCATTGCTCTCCCCTCTGTGAGCTGCAAGGCAGGGGCTCCCTCTGGGCACCGAGTCCCTGGGAGTGCTGGGCAGCCCTGCCCACCCCTGCCTGTCCTACCTAGCCCACGAGGTGCTGGCCAGCCTGCCCCTCCAGATGATCCTCTACTTCAACATCTACTACTTCCCGGTCTGGTGCCTGGCTGAGGGGATGATGCTGCAGCTGAAGGTACCGTCCTGTGGGGCACGGGGGGTGGGGGGTGAGGGGTGACCCTGCTCCTGCCCAACCTCCCTGGGCATGCAGGGGCCACACTGAGCCGGGGAGAGGGGAGCCTCTTCAAAATTACTAGGTCCACACACATGAGGAAAACATCCTGCCCCCCACAAGACAAGATGGCTCACTTCCAGCTCCCAGAAATGGAAATCGTGAGAACAACCACTGAACTTTCCAGGCACAGAAGGTTAAACTGGGAGGGCAGAGTGGGCAGGGCTGGGCACCAGCATGGGTGGAAGCTAGCAGAGCATGGGGAGCTGGGCATGGGGAGGAGGGCACAGGGAGCTGGGCACGGAGCACAGGGGATGGGAAACTGGGTATGGAGAGCTGGGCATGAGGCCCAGGGCACAGGGCTGGCTGGGACAAGGCTGTGCCCCCATTACAGTACCACCTGCTGCCTCAGCACTACCAGTTCCTGCTGGTCACTGCTTTCCTCATCCTCTCACTGGCTGAAGGCTCCCGCCTCTACCTGGGCTATGTAGGGAACCTGCAGGAGAAGGTAAGTGCTGTCTCTCTACCCTGGCTGCAAGTCCCCTGTGCTCGGTGAGGGATGGCCCTGCTGGAGGAGCTGTGGCTATGCTGGAGTGTTGTCAGTCCTATGCCCAGGACCTGAGTGCCCGTTCCTCCTTGGAGTCCTGCCTGGAGCTGTACTGGGAGGGGACAGAGGGTGCAGGCAGGACCTGGAGGCAGAGGACAAAGGGGACCCACTCGCTTCCCTGCTGTATCCCTCCCTCTGCTGCGGCTGTGATAATCCAGCACTGGGCTTGACAACATCCGACCACATCCAGGCACAGCTCCACATGGCAGGGACATCCCTGGTACCTG